CCAGCTGCTGCTCTTTGTCAAGTCACCCTACTGATGGACTATGACATCCCCAGAGCCTTCAGCCACAGCGGGACAGGCCTTGGCAAATCAGATGGCTGACTTGGTGGGGGAGGGAGAGGAAGAGGAGTCGATGAGTTTGAGGTCTGAGTGACCATGAAAGGGGAAGCAGCTTGGGGGAAGAGAACACAGGCACACAGGTGGGAATCTTTCCAGGGCTGCTTCCACAGGCCCCTCCAAGTGGTGGAGCTGCTGCCAAGACTGTGCTCTGGTCTCCCAGGGAACTCACCAGTAATCCATGGTCAGGACGCAGCTGTCCAGATCAATGAAGGTGAAGGCCCGGACACATCTATGGTTACTGATATCAAAGAACTCTGGGAAAGAAACAGAGTAAGGCATGCTTGGAACCAAAGCCTATGTCCCAGGCCTTGGGGGTCTCCACCCGGCAATGCTCCCAGGGGACTCTAATCCACGCTCTCAGTTGGCTAGGTGACAGACCTCTCCAAGTGCAAATGCATGGTTCCAGTGGCCAGGAGCAGGCCTGGGGAGCTGTGGGGACTCACCTATCTTCTGGTCAGTTGACACGATCGCAACCAGGTTCAAGTTGTGGAGACACACCATGTCGATGACCCGCATCTGCTGGCTGTGGAGTGGCTGGATCTGGTAAAGCTGCCAGAGGCAGGGCAGAGGAGACCTGGGCTAGGGAAACTTGCCTAGGAGAGCACGCCAGGAATGCAGTGTCCCGTGAACCCTCTCCTGCCACCAAGGCCCCGGAGTCAGGCACACACCTGCTGTGGAACCCAGAGCTACCACCCACTACTAATGGTGGGGCCTTGGGTAAATTCCCTAACTTCTCTGAGTCTCAGTTTCCACGTCTGTAAAATGGACTTGAAGAGCACCCATCCTCACAATCCCTTTTCAGAGCTATTTGAGAAGCTCATCAAAGTTTTAAACGTGCATCGTTTGTGATCCCGGGATCCATTTCCAAGAGGCTTCCATGATTGCACCCACGTGTACTCACAGAGACGTGTAAGTGGGAGTGGGTGCTGCTGCCCAGCTCTGACAGCAACAGGCCAGACACTGCCCGGAAGCATGCCTCACAGAAACCCACACCACCAACCACTGCCCAGACATTAAGAACGAGGGAGCTGTGTATGTACAATACAGAATAGTTGCCAAAATCTGTTATTAAGTGAAAAAGCAAGGTGAAAGCAGCATTATAACGTGATACCAGTTGTGTATTTAAAAAGGAAGTAGGGTGAATGTACAGGCGATTTCTCCCCAAACTGGTCACAGCAGTTGCCTCCAGCGAGAGGAATTAGGGTCTAAGAGAAGGAAACTGACTTTTCCACAGTCTGCCCCCTACTCCTGAATCTTTTTTCTGATTTTTATTGAAATATAATTGACATTGAACATTGGTATTAAGTGTCTTTGTTTTGTCTGAATTTTGTTTACCATCTGCCAGTGTCACCTGGCCAGAGTGGCTTATTAACGAGAAAGCATCCTGCCGGGTTGTGAGGAATGGATGGAACTGGGGACAATAAAGCCTCTGGTGTGCTGCCCGGCTTTGGGAGGAGCTGGATGGGTGCCTCCCACCCTGGTTGGTGCCAGCCTCAGTAACCCTTATGCAGACAGGATTTGAGCTGGCACTCCAGGCAGAGGACACCATGAGCAAAGGCAGATCAGCAGAAATGAGCTGCTATGTCCAAGGAAAAGAGGAGGCCAGCCTGACAGGCTTGGGTTGGAGAGCATGGGCTGTGGGTGAGGGGCGCCAGCTACAGAACTTGTATTTTACTCCCCAAATAACGCTACAGGTTCTGAACTCTCTCATCAGAACCCAGAGCACCAAGAGCAGAGGCCTGGGCTAACAGCTGGGGCAGTGAGGACAATGGACCAGGGACCCTCAAGGACCCTCTCTGGCCCAGGGCTGGGGGTCTAATGCACACACAATGGAGATGATGGTAATGGCCATCACCCCTCCCTACCCATGCTCAGAGAAACTGAGAGGGCGTCTCAGAGACTTGCCCAAGGTCGCACAGCTAGTAAGTGAAGCCCAGCCCCTGCTCCAGACTTCAGGGCTTTCCATCTGCACCACCGTGGACATACAGTGGGTGTTCAAGACGGTGCTTGGTGGCTCACTCTTCCCAACCTACTTGCCAAAGCAGCCCCTCAAGGAAACATGCCCAGCTCTGCTCAGCCTTCCAGGGAGCCTCCCTCTGTCCTCTTCAGCCATCCCAGGCTTTGGACCTCAGGGGCATCGGTGACCATAGTAGCCACGACCAGAAGCTCAGGCTATAATGTAAACCCCCTCCCCCAATAAACACACAAAAGAAAGTGAAATGTGCCAGAAACCCCAGCCTCAAGAGCACAGGTATGAATCCACCTTGTCCTAGACTACAAAGTGCACCCTAGAGAGTCGTTGGAACTCCACCAACCTAGTTCCCTCCCTTGGCAACTTGGGGGAACCATCCAGAATCCTCCTGCCCCAGGGCTGACCCCCAGTGCAACCAGGAAATGCTCGGTAGTCACACAACACACTCACTCAGCCTTCCCTGTGGAGCTGTGCCTCCCTCGTCTGCGGGAGGATTCTGGACTGGCCTGGCAACACCAAGTACACAGTGGGTTTTCCTGAGTGTTTTATCATTAACCACACTTGGCCAGGGGCTGAGGCACAAAGACAATGGTGATGTCAGCTTATGTTTCTCAGGTGTGTGCTGCTGCCCTGAACTGCTCCAAGCACCATACATGGATTATATCATTAAGTGCTCCCAACAGCCCTGCCAGGGGTACTGTTACCAACCCCATTTGACAGATGAGGAAACTGATGCGCAGAGTGATACAGTTACTTTCCGGGGAGCTAGAAGGTGGTGCAGGCAGGGTTCTACGCCTGGCAGTTGGGCTCCAGAGCCCATGCTCACAACCACTGTGACTTCTTCCCAGGTCCAAGGGAAGGATCTGAACCAGCAGGACTTGGTGATGGAGTGGGTGTGACGGGGAAAGGAAAGAAGGTTGATCTCTAGCAGGGAACCTTGGTGGATGGTGATGCCATTCACTGACATGGGGCACCAGAGACGTAAGCCTGGTGGGCAGGGAGGGCTACAGTGACAGTCGGTTTGGACAAACTGGGTTTAGGGTGTCTGTTGGGACATCCAGGTGCAGTGGACGTCCAGGTGGAATCCTGCTTTCAGAAGAGAACTGTGAGGCCACAGTCCCATGGGGAAGCCGGAAGCCAGTCCCAGGAGCTGCGGCTGCAAGTGAAGACTGCCTAGTCCATGAACCCAGGGAGGGAGCCCACTCTGTGTCCAAGGCATAAAGGCAGAGGCTCGTGGTGCAGGCCCCACTCACCCTGAAAGAGCTGGTCAGCGAGAAGGACTCCGACCATAACTGCAGGATCCCATCCTTGGTGACAGTCAGGAAACGCCCAATCTTCCTGAGCTGCTGGACTAGAAACTCTACTTTCACAATCTCACACCCGTGATTCCTGTGGAAGGTAATAAGAGAGAGGAGCCCAAACAAAACCAGGGCAAACAGCACAGAGGAGGAAGGCCGAAGCCGGCAAGAGGAGCTTCCCTCACACCCGCACCACAAGACACTCTGGCTCTGAGAGAAACTCGAGACATGCGCTCTGCCCTCATCCAAGGGGACTGCTACCATTATCCACGGTCACCAGAAGGAAAAGAGACCCATTATGATGCTGGGATGAGACAGCGCTCCCAAAGCAGTAAGTTTATCCCATGAAATAGCCAGTCAGCGTCCTCAAGATGGGATGGGCCAGAGAAGACAGGGGACAGGCGTCTTTTGCAAAAGTTCTTTCATAGGAAGAACATCCACGGAAGGCAAGTGAAGTGAGGTTTGTGACAAAAACTGAAATAACAGCGTTTCCAGCAATGCTCTAGTGTTTGGAGGTGGAGTGAGGAATAGGGCCCAAGAATGAGATAAAAGTAGACAAGGGGATAGTGAGAAATCAGGACCCCGTGCTCCCAACTCTTCATCTCCAAAAGCCTGCCCTGAGCGTAGCAAACAGCTCCTGGGGCAGGCCTGGCCTCACCAGAAGCCACCGAACAGCCTTCCCAGGGAATTTTAATGCCATCTTCCAGTGGCTTCTTTCTGGCAATTAAAGGGCCAGACACGGCACAGCACACACTCTCCCACTCGATGTGCCCACAACTCCAGGCCCCAGCAGGGCAGGTAACGTTGCCCCACCTTACAGGGACAGGGGATAACCATTTGCCTGGAGTTATGTCCTGGTTACCAGCAGAGCTGGAACTAGAATCCAGGCACCTTGATCCCCACTCCAGCCAGAGCCCTTTCCACATGTCACTATGGAAGCGATCTGAGCAGTGGCTTACAGATAACCCATGACTCTGGGAAATGCTACTGAGTTACAGTCTCTGCAGAAGAGAGGGGGACTCATCATCTGGACATGGCCCTCCTCTCACTCCAGCCCTCAGCCCACAGCTCTGCCCACAGCCTGATGAATATTCACAGTCTCCCCTCTAGCTGTCATTTCCAATTCTGCCTCCTCTGCCAGGGCCAAGTTGTTTTAAAAGTTACCCTTCCGCAGTTTTCATTACACCGTCTTCTCTATTAAAATCCAGGTTGCTTGAGGGCAAAGACAGTCTTCAAGTTCGTGGTCTGCCGCGTGGCCTGCCTGGGTGTGGTCCCCTGGGACAGACCCACCCACATCCTCTCCTAACCAGGTCACAAACGTAGGTCACCATACCTGGTACCGAGGACCCATTCCTGGGCTCCAGCCACCAGCACTGGGCATCTGGTGCCGCAACAAAGTGGGCTCCGGGAAGGGAGCCAGGGGCCTGTGGGCAGCCCAGCTTAGGAGGCCTGGGCCTGTGGTCCACATCCACTAGAATGTTCCTGGTTCTTAGGGAGTTTGGAGGGGTGGAGGCAGACAGGGCCAGAGCACAGAGAGAGGATAAAGAGCCTCATGAAGGAGTGGGCCCTCAGGGTCAGGCAGAGGTCAAAGCAGGGACAAAGAGTCACTTGGCCCAGGAGTGACACAGGGCTCAAGGAACAGTTTCCTATGATGGCTTTCCATGCAGGGCTGGCCCCAGCCTTGTCCAGACACACCCTTCAGTACAGGAGAGTCTCCTTACAGGGGGATGATCCTCATGGGAAGGTGGAAGCGCAGGCGGTGGCTCCTCATCATCTTCTCCTTCGCTCGGAACTCGCATATCACATAATCCACGTACTCCTGCTGCCTCAGGGAGAAACGCAAGCACTGCCATCGTGTCAGCCAAGAGGTCTGAGCACTGGCTTCCAGTGCCCGCCCCCATCTCTCCCCAGCCAGCCACAGTGCTGTTCTTGGATATGCATGGTGCGAAGGGTCTATTTGCCAGCGTTTGTGAAGCTAGCACAGCAGTGCCTCCCTCCTTAATTTGTTTCTGTAATTCTAGATAATCCTCACTCACTTCCACATCTGGCATCTCATATGAGTCTCTTCATTCACCCCACTTTGGGGTAGTAAGACTGAGGCCCACATAAATCTAGATGAGTTGCCCCAGCTCATATATCAAGTCAACAGCAGGGGAGGACCCCTAAGCCAGGCCACGAAGGCAACTCTAGGCTCTGTTGACCAGTCTCACGAAAATATGGCCAAGGTCAAAGTGCCACCACCATATGCAACTGTAACAAGAAGTAGGGAGTTATTAAGAAAAATCATTGCGTAGATGACAGAGTGCTGGAAACGTGTTTATTACAGAATATTAAGCGAAATGAAGGCAAAAAAAGCCACAGAAAGACACAGAATGTATGTCTACACTGAGTGGGCTTTTAACATATGGGCTCTTGAGGCAAAATCCCTGGGTCTGAAGACTGACTCGGCACTAACTAGCTCTGTAACCCTGGACAAGTTTATTTCTCTCTTGCCTCAGTTTCCCAATCTGTCAAATGGAGGTAAATTACCAGCAACTACCCCATAGGATTCCTGTGAGGTTTAAGTAAAATAATAATATAAACTGCTCTGCACAGTGCTTGGTGCAAACGCTAGTTATCATTGTCAGCAGTGCGCCATCAATATGTCAGACTGTTTCTTTGCAGTTCGTTCCGTATTCTTAAATGCTATACATGCTCATTGTAGAACATTTAAACTCAGCAGGAAAAAAGCATTACTATTAAAATGCTCTTACATCCTGACATTTTTTAAATCTAATGGCCCCTGAGTGACCATGAAGGGCAACAAGATGGTTGCGGCCCCAGCCGGAATCCCCTTAGCCAGACAGGAGGCTGGAGTGCAGGAGAGCCACGTGGCAGGTGGCGGTCCTTGCCGGTCTCATGTGGGGTCGCTGAGAGCTGGTTATCCACTCTCTTGTACCCCAGGAGGGGAATGAGCTGCAACGAATCCAGCTCACAGGAGTCTCGTGAGGGCCCCTCCAAGACTCCAAGCGTTCCCTCCCTGCAGCAAGCCCCCCAGAGTCCACGGGAGGCTTTCTGATGTTGTGCCCCCCCAATCACCAGCCCTCCACGTGCTCCACCGAGCAGCTGAGGCCCGACCCCTCCAGCCTCCCTCCAGCTACCTGCGGCAGCAGAGGCGCCCTCCTCACCCAGGTAACGGAGCCCTTACAGTTTATGTCCACCTTCAAAAACAGCGCCTCCAGCATCTCATCTAACACATTGCTCAGAATCTTCTTCACAGCCTTAGTGAAAGCCTTGATGTCCAGGGCTTCAAAAGAGACAAGAAAGAACACCGTCCACTTTATGGCAAGTCCCTCAGGTCCATCACTGGTCATGGAGCTGTCTGGGTGCTGAGTGGGGGACACACAGAGGATCACGTTGCATCTCATCTGTTTAACGTTAGATCATCCACAAATACTGGCTGCGCACCTGCCACACGAGAGCCGTGTGTTGGCCTCACAGCAGTGGGGCCGGGGTTGCTAAAAAAGATCACATCCAAGATCAGATCCCATTTCTCAGCAAACAAGACAGACCAGGCTTTGAGACAAAGAACATTGATGAAAAAAGAAAAGTAAACAATGACAACAAGGAGACATAAATAAATTCAAAGCTATAGCACAAGAAGTGAAGTGCATCTTTTAGAGGCAATTAAAATACAAACTTGGGCTGGGGAAAGATGGGGAGAGGAGAGGCACAGGCACAGGGATGAAATTTTCTCCCCATGCTGGGTTTTACGGCTACAAGGGAATCTGCCTGCAAATGGGTCAATCACCCCTGTCTAGATCTTTTTTTAAACTAAAAGAAGTGTTTCCAAAACCCACTCCAAGTGTTGGAACCCTCGCCATGGCCTGAAGGCTGTGTGTTTTCTGGCTCCTCGCGGACCTCAGGTCCCACCTCCATCCCCTGCGTTCTCTGCTCCAGCCGTGATGCCCCCACAAGGTTTCTCACCCTGCTAACCTCAAGGTCTTCACAGGTCTGGTTCCTCTACTTTTCTAAGGAGGCTGATTTTCCTTGTTACCACCCTAGCCATGAGCTCTGGGAGGGCAGGGCTGAGTCTGTCCCCTCCGTGTCAGTGATGGCAATGACTGGGTGTCAGTATCATCTGTGTTTATTCATACTGACCTCCTGACGGTGTCGGAGGTGGGGAGGTTAGGGGGACTCGTGGGGAAACTGTGGCACAGAGAGGTGGAGTCACGTGCCCAAGGTCACACAGCTGTGAGTGGTGGCACTCAGGCCGTCCCCAGCAATCTGGCTCCAGAGGTCAAGCTCTCCCCCGATTCCATGCTCCTCATCCAATGGCCAGCAGGGCGCTACAGCAGCAGTTATCACTTACTGCTAGACTGAGGAACAAACGAAAGCCTAACAGAAGCTGCCCTGCTTAAAGGAGGATCCATCTTGCTGACCTGAAGCAACAGCCAAGAGCCGTACACGTCGGAGTGACACTTAACGAACAGTTCTTCTGTGTATCACATGGACCTCAGGTGACAGTCCGAGCATGGAGCCCTCCCCTCAGGAAAGAACTGGGAGTCAAAGCGCCTTTGTGCAGGTTTAATGAACAAACTACTCTTAAAAGCACTACAGGGAGAGTCCCTTCATTGGTGTTTAAGAACCCGTACATAATATTCACTGCCGTATTATTTTAATATCCTTCTTCTTACAAACAGCTTACCGAAAAAATTTTGAGGATCACAAGAGAACAGACACAAAGGTGTCCTGCATACCATGAAGACCAGTCAGGTCCCCTGCTTGTCGCCTCTAAAAGGAAGCACTCACTCATCTCACACCAAACGGTTCATTAATAGCTCTGAAGCACAAATGTGAAAACGTCACTTCTCTGGGGAGGGCATCACTGCATTCCCTAGGATCAGACAGGAGAAGACTTTCTGGGAGACTCCCTGACTCCTGCCAGCTGACTCCTCTGAGCCACCAGTGACCTGGAACCACACCTGAGGGGGGCTCTCCTGGTCCTAGGGCCTCTCCTCCCTTCCAGCAGCAGTGAAGCACCGGCCACTCCCGCCTGCCCAGGAGGCTCTGTCTCCCCCAGGCTCCACTGCCTGCTCTGCCCTGTCATTCAGCATCTGCTCAGCTCTCATCACTGTTGCTTTCTCTTTCGTGGGATACTGCCCTTGAACAGCCTCATCTACTCATCCATCTCTACATCTCAGGAGAGAATTTATCTCCACGACCCTGACGATTTCCAAGTATCCCCCTGGCCCCTTCAATTTAGCATGTTTAAAATACAATTTACTATCTTTATCCCAAAACTTGCCCCACTTTTCTATGTTCATTGTCTCTGCTAACAGCATCACCTCCACCCAGTCGCCCAGGATGAACACCTGAGGGGTGAATCCTGTGGTCCTAGAATGCAGGCACTGTCATTCTCCCATCTTACAGATGAGGATAGAGAGGCACAAGAGGCGTGGAATTGGCACAAGGACACACAGTAGTGCAGCGGGGATTTGGAACCAGAAGCCTTTCTCCTCTCCTCTCCACTACCCTACGCAGGGCGGTCACATGACGAGCTCGCGCTCTTTCAACCAACCTCACGGCCATGTCCATCCTGACCTCCTGGCCACCATAACACTTACCTTTTTCAAACAGGTCTAGATATGTCACCTCCCCATCAGCCCCACTATGGGAGTTCAGGACCGCTTCTGATCTAAGAGCACCCCACCACCACAGGGCTGCCTTGCTCCCAGCCTCACCTGTAGGACACCCCTCTCCCCTGGAGCACAGCAACACCTCTCTTAAGCCAGCCCCTGCCAGACCTGCCCTCCTCTCCACCTCCTGGGAAAATTCCTACTTCACCTTTCCCAGGCAGGTCCCAGATTAGTTCCTTTGTTACAGGGGCAGGAGTCAGGGGAGGGGTCGCAGGGAGAAGGTTTCCTCTGCATCCTCTGCACTGTCTGAATTTTCTACCTATACACACTGCCAGTCCCAAGTGCCCGCTAGCCCCAGGCCCCTTTCTCTTCCTTTCTTTGTAATGCCAAGAGGTAGGAAGATGGCTTGTTTTTCATATGCTTATAAGCATCTTTAGAATAAATGGTATATTAAAAATGTTTAAGAAAAGCATGGTGCTTCCTAGCCTCCATCCCGCCTCTAGGAGAAATAAGGGCCTGCTCCCCACACTTGTCCAGAGGGCACACCAGATCACCAAGGGCAGGCTGGTGTGCGTGGGGGCTCACACCCCTGCTCTCACTGGAAGGGCATCTGAGGTGTTAACACATGCTGGGGGAGCCCAAGAAAGCCCAGGGTTTGGAGTCAGAGGACCGCTCTGTCGGGGCCTGTTGTTGGTGTCTGTCTGAGCAAAGGCCCCAGCCCAGGCTCCTCCTGTGGAGTCAGGATCCCTGCTGCAGGGCTTCAAGGAGAACTGAAATCTGACAGAGGCCTCTGCAGCCTGTAAGGCCCTGCAGAGCTTGGTCAAATGTCTGCTGGCCTAAGGGAGAGGGGCACTCAGCACGAGTGCCACCCACGTCCGCCCAGGAGCACCTGTGCAGAAGGAAAGCGCCCTCCTGGCTGCAGGCCGAGCTGCAGGCCCCCCAGCTCAGTGCTTCTCCTGTGACCCCTTGAGCAGCCCACAGCATCCCTGAGGCAGGCCCCACAAGAACGACAGGCTGGGGCACGTGGACACTTTCAAGACCAACAAAAATAGTACAGCCAAAAAGGGAACTTGCGGAACAGGGAAGAGAACCCTGTATCTCCCCTGTTCCCTCCGAGGCAGGCACGAATGGTCAGGGTTCCCGAGAAATGGTATCAAACAATGCTCAGAATGCACCTCTTTTAAAGACTTTTGAAGGAGAAAAATGATCCTGTTTTCCTTTATCCTACATCAGCTAAGGATGAATTCTCCTGTTTTTCCATTTAAAACTATGGCCAGTTTTTTAAAAATACGGAAGCTCTTTTTACATTGATAGGAAAAGATTTCAAGACATACTACGTTAAAAGCAAGAGGGGAAACTTGATTTCAAAAAATTATTTTTTAAAAAAGCAAGGGATAACACAACACTGTAAATTAACTATACTTCAATTTTTTTAAAAAAGCAAGGAGTAAGTAGACAATTGTGTGGATCTTTCAATATATATATGGTATCAAATTATCACTTGGCACACTTTAAATATATTGCAATTTTATTTGTCAATTATATCTCAGTAAAATTGGAGGGAAAAAAAAGCCAGGAGTAGAACAGTGTGGACGGTAGGCTGCCACTGCCTAGAAAAAAGAGGAGGAGCCACTACATGTACTCGGTGCTTCTGAAGGTCACAGGAAACTGAAAGCAGTAACCGCCTAAAGGGACAGACATGCTGGAACTGGGTAGAACTATCTAGCTGAGGGAGACATTTTCTCCATATACCAAGAAAAGGTGTCATGAGAAAAGTGCCTTTTGAATTTTTTTTTTTTTGGAAAATGTTTATGACGCAACATTGTAGAAATACTGCATTGTGGTCTGCTTTGAAAGGAGGGAGAGATAAGGGTACCTTCTGAATTTTTAACTGTGTGAATATATTACCATAAAAACAAAACACAAGCACAATAAAAATCGTGGCCAAGGTTGGCACTGTTGGCTCCTCCAAGACACGTGGTAGCACTTCCTGGTTGCCCAACACCGACACCCAAAGAATTCTGATTAAGGACCATCTCAGCTTCAGGTCTGACGCAAATCGTCCCTCCCCGGCCTCACTTTGTAAACTGGCCGTTTGTTACGCTTTCCTGCCCGCATCATGTGTAACACGTAAACATCACATAAACACAAATTGATGGGGCAGGTACCTGTGGCCCCAGCATTGGCTCTCAGAGTCCAGTGGACAGAAATACAGGTGCCTTTAACTATTCCTATTATTTAACTTGATGTGTATCATCCCAAGGGGAAAAATCAAGCTCTAAAGAGAAAAAAGTTTGATGCACAAAGGACATTCTTCACAATGTTATTTAAACTCAATAAAATCTAAATGTTTTATTTAGGGAAATGGCTTGGTCAACCAGTAGAGCACTTGCATTCACTGGTAATGATGGTTCAGAAGACCACACAGCACTATGAAAACCCTTAAGGAATTAAGAGGAAAAGAAGGGCCTGAAATTACATATATAGTCCAATTATAGACATGTGAAAACACACACAGACATCTGGGGCAGAGACTGAAGATGACCCCATGATGTCCTCCTCCTGGCGCTCACGCTCTCCTGTGATTCCCCTCCCCTTGAGTGTGGCATAGCCTGTGACTTGCTTCTGACCAGCAGAATATGGCAAAGGTGACAGGATGTACGGAACTATGTGTGCATGATTATAAGATTATAGCACATATCTTGCTGGATTTTCTCTCTCTCTGCCTGGCTTGAGCCTTGAAATCAGCCATGGTGGTGAGTCCCACAGAGCCAGGAACTGGGCAGCTCTAGGAGCTTATGATAATCACTAGCCAATAGCCAGGAAGAAACAAAAGCCCTCAGTTCTGCAGCTTAAAGGACTGAATTCTGCCAACAACCTCAGTGAACTTGGAAATGGATTCATCCCCAGTCAAGCCCCAGCTAGTCTTCAGCCCCAGGTGACACCCTGATTGCAGCCTAGTAAGACCCTGAGCAGAGGAGCCAGCTAAGCTGTACCCAGACTCCTGACCCACTGAAACGGTGAGATTAATAAAATAAATATGCATTGGCTTAAACCACTAATTCTGTGGGAATACTGTTAACACCGCAATAGATAATAAACCATACATATGAAGTTGTTTGGAGGAAAACAAACTGGAATGCTGACAGTGGTTACCCAAGTGTTTGGATTAGGGCTATTTTTTTTCTCAGTCCCAAATAGCTTCCAATAGGCTTACAATACTTCTGCAATATAAAAAGTTTTAAAGGAGATACTGGATGCAGAAACACTTGAGTCTGCACCCTCCACCCACGCCAGGTACTGGGTCCTTCCCACCCTGCACAGAAGCCACAGGGACTGCGCCCACAATGCAGCCTTACCTCTTCCAGTCGAGTCAACTGCATTCTCAAACGTTTTCTCCATCTCTGCCAGGTGTGGCTCGGTAAACAGCTGAGACTCGTACTGGAAGTCGGATATCTGGCTAAGGGTTGAACGATGGTGCTGGAGAGCCAAGAGCCTCCTTGCTCTTCTGGAATCCACCTGGAGAGGACGCCTGGAACAAAGATGACTACAAAAACCAGGGACTAAGAGGGTTGATTTCCTGAGCTGAACATTTTTAAACATATTTTATTGAAAGAGCACATCTTTGGGGTATGTAGCGTTATGGTGTGTAAGTAAGTCTTAACCACTTTCAGGCTCAGGAAGATGAAGGAAGATCTGGACTGCTTCTCCTGACTTTGGGGTGTTAACTATCGTTCCTGTTTTACAGATGCCATGACTGAGGTTCAGCAAGGTTAGTGGACACAGCCAAGTTCCCAACTCCCACATCACAGGACTATAACTTGTAAGGTGCTTCAGTCAGTAACCACATAGTTTCAAATCTTCAGTGGTCAGAATTCAAGACCCCAAGGCATCCAGCTCCATCTTCCCGAGACTGTGATTTTGTCCTGACCACTCCAGACACTCCAGGTCAGATAAGACCATCTGCGCACACAGTCCCTTCCAATCAGGGGCTCTTGGCTTCTTCCTCCTCCTCCTCCTTCTCCTCACCTTCTCACATCCCCCCTTACCCTTCCCCACCCCTCCAGCCCTCAACAATACTTCCTCTCCACAGCCTCTATGTGCAACTCATTTTGACACTGAGCACAATGTTTCAGGTGACTAACGTCTTGGGCCATCAAAGGCTGCCTCCCCCAAAAGACTCCAGGTGTGGACTACATATAACCAGTGAGGGCTGCCCACTGAAATACATTGCTTTGGGCCTCGGGCAGTCAAGAAAACTTCAGTTCAAAAAGTCAAAAGACCACATGGAGGTTGGATTGCTCACTCTCCTCATCCCAGCTGCACCAAATGAGCAAACACATTCGTCTTCCTGTGAACTTGCCTTCATTCACTCATGGTCTATGCACATCTGAGTGATAGGCACTGTGGAATCACCAGTGAACAGAGTGGAGACCTGCCTTCATGGAGCCAGATGAGCTAGTTAATGCTCTAACCAGCCACACAGGCTCCCAGATTAGAAATGCTAGTACCATCTTTGGCTCTTCCCTCTGCCTCCCTTGAATTCTTACTGTCCCTCCTCCAATTGAGTCTTACTGTGATCCATCTCCCACATCTAAACCTTCCTCTTCCACGTCTTTGCCCCACCTCAAGCCCTAGAGTTTTGCTGGGACGAGTACAATGACCTTCCCCAATTGGGACCAGAGTTTACCCTTCCCTTCCAATCCACCTCCTAACATTGGCACCAGCCGTCTTCCTGGAAGGTAAATCTGACCCCAACTCTACCCCAGCTGACACTTTCCAGGCTATTCCCACCACCCCCAACTCCTGAGCAAGGCACTTAAAGCCCTTTGCAACGTAACCCAGACCTGTCTCTCTAGCAAGAATTCAACTTTACTCACGTTGTTACCTCTAAGCAAAACAGACCATCACCCAGAGAGGTGAGCTCCTATCCGTTCTTCAAAGTCTGGCTCAAATGGCATCTCCTCCAAGGAGCTTTTTGGTAACTTTCAGGTGAGTGTCATCACTGCCACCTCCATGCTCCCAAATTCTCTGTTCATATCTGCCACATATGCATGAGACCTGTGCGTGCCTGACCATACATGCAGACAGCAAGGTGTGACGGGAGACGTGGCTGTAGAGTCCCAGCGCTCTGGGCTACAATTCTGCCTGGCTCCCTACTTCCGAGCTAATTTATGTCGGGGTTATCATATCACTTCTCTGAGCCACAAGTTTCCTTATCTGCAAAATCTCTCCCCAGTACCCACCGTGCAGGGTTGTGGTGAGACAAAATGACACCTGAACACACGTGAAGCTGCAGCAAATTGTAGTCATACAATGATAGTTCCCGTTATTACTCCCCATCTCACAGTGAGCTCTTTGAAGGCCAGGGCCTTAAATTTATCTTAATTTAATCTTAATTCAACTTATACAAATTATTCTCTGTATTCCCCAGCTCCAAGTACGTATTAGACACTAAATACTTACTTGGCTTGATAACAATTTGTACAGCCCACCCCACCATTATCACAACGTGGCTGGGCAAAATTAAATACAGTCCATATAGAGACTACAAATTGATGGCCTGAGACTTGCCCCTTTCGGCCCATAGAGTGCTTTAAAAGGGAAAACCCACCTGCTGCAGTGTGGGTTTAAGTTACTTTGCAAATATCTAAGTCTGCAACCTCCATACCGATGAGTGACATCTCGTGGCTCTGGAATACTCCCTCCCATCATCAGCTCTGATGGTTTTCTTACCTTTTGAGACAGAGAGCTCTCTCTTAAGTCCTCAGAAGACTCTGAAGTTGACCTAGAATAGGGAATCATAGTTGCTTTAACTCCAGTCTTTGTAAGGACCATGTGGGAGGCCGACCTAGCCACGTCACAGGAGGGTGGAAAAGAAGTCACGGTCAAGGGAGAGGGTGGCTGCCCCATGCCCATGGACACCCCCTACTCCGTACACATTCAATGAGCACCTCTCCAACAGGGGCTCCTCCAACAGAGAGCTTTTCTACAGCTTAACTTGTAAGCCTCTTTCCCCTGATAGGAAAGAGTTGTCCTACTGATGCCTACTGGGCTTCACAAGTGACTATATTCCTGGCTTAATGCCAGAGGCTTCCTAAAGGGAGTCGCCCTTTTTACAGAAGTAGAAAACGCTGAGGAGGCCACATGGGGGTCCAACCACAAGTCACAGATTAGGGAAATAAGGTCCAGGACAAGCACATTTCCAAAGGGTCAAATACATGCACCAGAAGTGGGGCAGGACAGGCCCGACTTGCCACTGCGTGCTCTGCCACCCTCCCTCAAAGCCCTTGGAGGAAGAACTTCTGTAGGAGAACTGATGATCTCTTCTCACGGTACCATGGGGTCAGGTGCAGCACGTGGGAGCAGTCCATCCCGTGGGGCTCTGCTCTGACAATACCAAGGGCACACTTCCACAGGGTCAGCGGCACCTCCATAGGGGACGGAAGACAGCGTTTTATTAGGAGTACTGGAGCATGAACTCACCTCATCAGCAAGTCCCCCTCGAGAAGGTCCTCGAGGACGGCCAGGCAATGGCCAGGAAACAGTCAAGCCCCAGACAGGCCCAGGGGATAGAGTGAACGAGCCAGCTTGGCTTGACAAAGGTCTCCTGGCGGGGCAGGGGGTGAAGTGAGGGGAGAAATAATGGAAGAGGAGAGACGAAAAGAAAAATGGAAGCAGAATGTAGAATCCTAAATATCTTCGCTGGGGAGTCTGGACAGGATGAAGGGCAATTATGAAAACATCAGCATGAGATGGGGGGAGAGGGGAGGAGAAGGAAGACTGAAAACTGGCCAGTGGTGTCCTAAGCTAACTGTGTTTTGGCACCAGCTCAGATATAAAGACCAAAGGAGAGAGAAGAGCCAAAGGAAAGGAGACTTGGAAGCCAGGAACCAGGGTAACTGAGGGAAACACCAGAAACATTTCCAGAAAAGGGAGCAAGGCGGGATAGTGGCTTAATGCATGTGATGCTGGGCTCTCTGATTAGAAATAAAAAACAATTACCTGAAATACGGGGACTGAAACTTGAGGAGTGGCTACATTTAGGAGCCAAAGAGGGGAGTAACACACAAAAGTCAGTATGCGTCAGCTAGGAAGACTGGGATGCTCCAGAGTGGGTCAAGATGGTTAAGAAATGAAAACAACTGAACACGGCAATTAAAGGTCACCCGTGAAAAAGCCGCAGAGGTGGATCCATAAGTTCATTTCTGTTACGCATATATGCGCATGTATGTTGGCCTGGAAAAATACACTCCAAATCTAATGGCAGTTATTGCTGGCAGGTGAGATTATGGAGGATGTCTATAATCTAATTCATGCATTTCTCTATTTTTCTTTTTAATCCAGAATAGGTTAATGGCAATCTTTAAGATTTATTTCAATGGAGTGAATGGTGGGTACTTATCTGTGAAAGACCACTGTACAAAAGTGGTTGCTGCAGCACTGTTCACAGCAGCCAAAAATAAAGTGAATGAGTATCTAAGAGAAATGGCTCATTAAATCAGTACACCTGCATTCAGAATTACGCAGGCAAGCAGAAGGATGAACCTGACCTTCAACAGATGACTAGGAGGGATTTTCATGAGATCCTATAAGAAAGCAGTGCACACTGTGATGTCAATTTTTATAGAAGAATGACAAATAGGTATGTGCTTATTATATAGATAAGAACATGTGTGTACACACACACACACATACACGTTTATAAACAGGACGATCCTTAATAATTATGGGGCCGAGAGCAAAAGAATATTGGTCCACACAGCTAGTCTAGTTATTTAAAATGTTTATAAATTAACATACTATTAAACAAAATACATTCTATTCTCCTACCTTCATACACACACTTTTATAACAACCTGGAAGGCCTCGTTCAAATTTAGAATTCTGGAATTCCTCAGCTCAGTGACAGAATTTGGCAGTGAGGGGAGAGCCAGCCTCCAAACCCTCTACCCACCCCTACACCCTCTCCGTCCTGCTTAAGAGGCTTGTGGATGGTGGCGTGTAGAAGGACATCTCAGCCCCTATACCCAGGCTGCGCCTCCCCAACACCCCCACTGCTCCCCCGCCACTGCAAGCCTAGGCAGGGCTGCCCTCAAAAATGATGCACTGGGGGAAAGGCCCATAAAGACTCTGGAATCAGGTTCAAGCTGATTTGGACAGGGGATTTCAGTACTCAGAGCAGGGATGAGGGGGGTGTACCAGCAGGGCCTGAGTGACCACCCTCTTAGCCCCTTGGACCTATCTCATCTGGTGGAAAGGGACATCGCCAGAGGAGGGACAGAGTGGAATGCTCTAAAGCTTGGCCCTTGGCAGGGACCCTTCTTGCCTGGGTCTAAGGTGGCACTGTACTATCAGTAATACAAAAGTATGAGTACAGAGAAAAATATGGAAAGACACAGACACTAGGGTGTTGATACAGATTATGGGAAGCTGGGGGCTAATGTGACAAAAAGGGGGTGCGAAGAATAAAGGAATAGCAAAAAGTCTGCACTAACAAAAGTCACATGTATCATCACATTTATACAAAACAGGAAAGCATGGGGATGCATAAAGAAAATAAGCATGCTTTGTTTTGCTTTAAAGTCTTCACTAACAAGTGATTAAAGTTAACATCACCAACAAAGGACACGCACCTCCTGCGTGCTGCGCTCAGGACTATCCCTTTGGCCCTATCCCCTGCCAAACTGCAGGACATTCTACAAAACAACTGGGCTTTACTCTTAAACTGTCGTTGACATGAAACACAAAGAAAAGCTAAGGAACTGTTCCAGATTAAAGGTGACTAAAGAGAGCAAGGCTAAAGGCAATAGGTGATTCTGAATTGGATCCTAGACTGGGGGGAAAAAACTCTCAGTGCCATTATTACGAGCATTGGTGAAATTTGAATGTGACTCTACATTATAGGGTAATATTGAATTAATGTTATTTCCTGTTTTTGGCAACTGTGCTGTGGTTAGAAGAGAATGTCCTTGTTCTTAGGAAATATACACTTGAGCATTTAAGGGTAAAGGGGTACAATGTCTGTAATTTATTCCTAAATGGTTCAACAAAAGTATACAACAATAAATGTGGCAAGATGTTCACCATTAGTCTTCCCAGGCAAAGGGGAGTTCTTTGTACTATTCTTGAAACTATTTACATCTTTTTAATTATTTCAGAACTGGAAGTTCTATAAGAGAGAAATACGAGTTTAACCAGAAGAGAGGGAGGAGCTCTGTGTATGTTCATGGACTGAGGCCACAAGGGGAAAAAACATAGGTTGAGAGCCAACAGAGACACCCAAAAGCAAAGCACCAGAGTAAGAAGCCGAGCGTCCTCTAATGCTGGAGGGGAGGGAGAGAAGAGTTAGATGCAGAATTAAACGTCTATCTAGGAGAGAACAGGTAAGATCGGGGGACGCCTGCTCTGAGGGGAAGGGGTGGGGGTGGGGGTGGGGCGGGTTACGGCACAAACCTGGACACACAAGTGAGAGCTTAGAGTAGCCACTAGGGAAGCACGTGGGGAATGGGAGAGAATAACTGGTTTGCTGAATAATCAGTTTGTCAGAATTTGTAGAGGCAGATATTTAAGGCCAAATGCAGTTAAAGCTGTCCTGAAAACAGGGAAGAAAGGCTCTCCGGTTCAGCTTTTAATCTCAGGCAAACAGATCTCAGGGCTCAGGTGTCCAATCTTCTGGAGATAACTTTAACCCCAAACCTTCGCTCACCCTGACCCGATCTCCTCTCCCCAGTTAATCCTGCTGGCTATATTTGACAGAGGCTTATTGGTATTCCACTTCCTTCCCGACTGAGACATCTTGGCAGCTGTCCCCAAGCCCAAAGCAGCCCCTCTATGAGGTTACTGTGGAACTCCAAGGGCTTCCACCTGACTGCAGAGTCAGTTGGCCCCCATTTAGAACCAGGAAAATGAGAGAATCCACACACAGAACACAAAACGGAACATCAGAATCCATCCCACAAACCATAACCACGCAGCCATTTTTCATCTCACATGAGGTATTTTATTGATGAAGTTGAACTTACAGCAGACACAACCAGGACAAATACGAGTAGAAAGCAAGCCACAGGACAAATACAGCACAGAGTGCTCACCTCTCATGGAAATCATGGAAAATGCCAAGGAGTCTAACAACAGAGCAAGTTCACCGAAACCAAAAAGCCAACTGGCCCCCACAGTTGGGACAGTGAAAGGCACAGCAGCTGACTTAACACGCCCTCTGCATGAGCTCCAATTCTTTGAAAAGAGGAAGGCTATGAGAGCATGATGTGTAAGATGGGGGGTCTTACAAATCCAGACTTCATGGCAGGCCTGGACTTTGTGCAGCACTGTTCAATCTTGCCCCTGGCACAACACAGCAGGATGAGTTGGCCAAAGCTAAATCTCTTGGGGAGAATTCAACCAAGGGATGCCAGACTTAAAGATACCCAGCTAAATCACTTTTCACAATGACCTAGATGTTACCAAAATATGAACTGACCATGAAGCAAAGCCCTCCCCAAATCTTCACCACACAGAGAACACCCACATGCAGGAAAAACTCTCTGCTCCCATTTCATCAACAATGGAGACAAAAGATTTTGTCACATTGTGGAACATGAAACATGGAGTGGCTCGATGAAATGCTGTAAAAGGTATAGAAAAAAAGTTTTAAATCAGTTTTATTAAACTAGATATTAATAAATTAGAAGGGTTTATTTGGATAAAAAAAAAACCAGAAGGCTGATGATGCTACATTTGACTGTTTCCCACTGGTTTTTGGCTAAGTGCTTCCATTTTCTAATCCAATGTTACTATTCCTACTTTCAGCAATTCTTGTGTTTATCAATATTTTTATATGGGCCTAAAATATGCTAAATTCTATCACAACAAATGTAATCTTCCTTCCCTGGGAAGAGGCATGAGAACAACGGGGAAATACTAAGATGCATTCCACTTTTTGGGTAAGGAAAAGTTCAGAAAACCCCTACCTAAAAAGGGCGCCATATGATCATCAATAACTCAGGTTTGAAAACAAAAAACAAACAGAAGCAGGAGGGAGGGCATTTAAAAGAAAAAAATCTCCTAGATAAACCTCTGCACAGAGTAATTCTAGAATAAAGTTCAAAGTCCTACTTGAGACTAGTTCAGGCATCACTTGCTAATCCTGAAGAGATTCTGTTCCGCTCCCTGTCAGCAGAGACGGGATGCTTCCAGAAGGGAGCAGCCCCGGTGACCAGCACTTCAACGACCGGTCAGCTGCTGCAGGGAAGGCACCTCCACTCCACTGAGCAGCGGTGCCAACACTGTCCTCTCCAGCTTCACCACGGTGGGTTTTAAAACGTCAAAAACTGTACCCTAATGTACAATTTATATGTGCCAATTATTCCTCAATAAAGTTAACAAAAGTTCGTGTCCTTCTCAGCTTTATAAAATTTGTCAAAAATTTTAAAATGTAACTTGACAACCAAGAAGAGAGGCTTTTCTCTTTTCAAATTCAAATAAACAAGACAGAAGTCAGTGACTGGTGGAGGTGGTGGGGGACCCTGAGGGTTAACGGAAAGACCACACCTTCAGTTGAGGCTCGCATGATATTCAAAACAATGCTCCTCCTACCACACACCACACTGCCATAGAGAACTCCGGGTTCAAACACCAAAGATTTCAAAATACCAGGACTCAAGAAAAAAGGAAGATTCTCAGGGTGATTCAGTACCTACCCACCTTCTCCCCAAAAAAGAAAGAAAAAAATTAAGTCAGAGAGTTAAAAATTCTTAGGAAATTTTTAAAAATAATTTTTATTTCATTCAACACTGAATAGTTATTTCTTCTCTCAGCTTTTAAAATTAATAGGGAGGGAGGTGCACACATAGGGGCAAGCCGGGATTAGCCTACAGCTACCTGTAAAAAACACAAATAATTCATTCCATTCTTCCAAGCAGGGTTTAAAATTTCAAAGTAAAACCAGCAGTCATATATAATTACACATTTAACGCTCACATTATTCTGTAGAAAAACATTTAAAATACAAAAAAGAAAAGAGAGATATCAGGTTAGAAACCTTTAGAATGCTAAAATCCAGATGACCCTGAGGTACGCTGGATCTAAACTACTTCAAAATATATAAACAGGTCCCATTATGAGAAATATAAACACAAACGTGCTAAAACTGTGAAGCAAGCAAGAGAGGAAAGAAATCTGAAGGTCACTCAGCTTAGACTAGGACAAACCATGACAGATTCTGGGTACAACATACTTAGCTTCTTGCACTAAATGGCGATTTGGGGACGAATGCACTAGCGAAGCTCTCCCTGCAGCTTGCAGCCTATGGGGGAAAAAAGCCAAATGCACGGGAGCCACTTTTTACTTCTGTCAAAACCTCTTCTTTCAGAATCAAAGCTTTTATTTAAACACCAAAGTTGTACACTTTACAAACCATTTCATTGTGAGAATTTTTTCAAAATTTCACATGCAAAAGGTATGTAGCTGATGCTGAGAATCACTGTGCTTTTTCTTTGTACCAAAACTGTTGCTCAACTGATGAAAACTGGCCTCCAGAGGCAGTATTTGCTGGAACTGGGCACTCTCCCACTCTTTCCAGCTCCAGTATCCTACTGGCCTTTACAGATCTAAGTAGCTTTTCCTGGCTCAGAAGGGATCCTGGGGAAAGCATCCTCACTCATCTCCTCACTAAGCCAATGAAAAGCCGTGCTCTGGAGACCGGGGATGCAAGGCCTGGAGGAGGACTCCCAGTCTTTGGCTCCCTGATCACAGCACTTCTCCCTCGTTCATTTTGGTAAAGGTCAGGGAGGAGCTCCAGCCGCACACTCCCTTTATATATTCAGTCTGCCCACTTGCATGCTAGACCTTGGCTTAACTTTAATAGGCTACAGTGTGATTTGTGAATCATCCATGAAGGCTGAATCTTAGAAACTCATCTTTGTCCCCAGTGGAAACTAGGAAGAGCCATAAAGCCAGCTTTCTTAAGACTTACCCTGATGGACTGAATCTCACTACCAGCTTCTCAAATCTCAATGTACCATCAAAACTGAAAATTAAAGATATCACTAAATGGAATAAATTACTCTTCCTCCTCTTCCTCATACCTGCATCCAGCCTATCCTCACCAACGATTCCTGCAGACTGTGAAAAGTATGAAAGTAAACCACGAAAAAGTTAAAAGAAAAAAATTCTTTTTTAGTTTTTAAGGTAAGGCATCTTACAGAATTCCAAACTGCTAACAGATCACTTTGTCATTCTAAATTTATCTCTTGATACCATTTACAAAGTTCTAGGCTTTGATGGCTAATCTGGTTTGCTTTCAAACGATCACAGGACAAAGATTTGTCTCTCCCCATTCAGAGAAATGCATCTGTGAAGGCTCCTTTCATTCTACATTTCAGAACCTCAGAGCTTCCAATAAAAAAGAAATACAGGCTATTTTAATTTTTTAAATTTATATATATGGTCTTGGAATAACGGACCTAGAAATTCAAATCTAAGGTTAGACTTGCTTACCTAGATAACCAAACTAATGAAGCAGCCTGACCACAACCTCAATAGAAACTCTGTGCTCCAAAGACTAAGGTAACATTACTTTCCAAGTCAGATTAAGCTACAAGGGTAAGTGACCTCCACAAGTTATAGCCACGTAACAATCTGGCTGAAGGCATCTGGGGTAGTGGTTCTAAGGATAGTCAAGCTCGATGTAAAAGTACAGAATCCCTCTGTGGGCTTCCTTTCAGACAGTTATATTCTCACATGTGAAAACTGAGAAAAAAGCAGCAAGTGTCAGAAACAAACACAAACTCACCTGGTTTTAAAATTTTATAATTGAATGCATGAATTCAAAAGTACGACATACTCCCAATTTTAAATCAACAGCAACAGTACCACCAGACCAGCAAAATGACTGGTGAGGCACAAACACTGACCACGGGCTCAGGCTCAGCTTGGCTCAAAGAAATTACTTCCACTATGCTGACAGCAGTCACATCTGGGTCACCCACATCCTCGCAAGCTAATCTGATTAGGCTGATCAGGCTTAAAGCCTAGGTTTTGTTTGCAGACTATGGTGAACTATACTAAACATCATTAAAAAAAAGTCCTTATACCAAATCTCATAAAACAATCCTTAAAAAACCACCTCCCTAGGGCCATTCTGGTTATAACAAAAAAAAAGGGGGGGCTTCCTTTCCAACACCAAACTATATTCTAGAGAGTAAACCTTGAAGAAAATACCTATATTTAAATCAATGAATCTGAATTACTGAATGACTGAATCTCCAACTAAGAGAAAATGGTGGAAGATGTGTTTAGACTGATTTCACTTGGGGAAAACCAGGATGAAAATCAGAGTCTGAAAATGGAAGAAGCTGGACTCATCAATGCCTCCAAAGCTGAAAAAGAAACATTAAGAGAACCTGTTACTTATTTTACAAAATACTCAAAACCTATCTTAGGAATTGTCCTAAACTTTTCTGACCTATAAACAGAATTTCAGGCTGGATCTGAAGAACTCATGGGGGCTTTCTAACACTGTGGTCACCTTTTCTGTTTATCAGCTCATTCTGATCTCAGTAAGCACCCAGTGAGGAGGCACTACAGCCAATAACATGATCATCCCCATTTTGCAGGTCAGAACAAGAAAAGAGATCAGTTAGCTCAAAAGTTACAAAGCTAGGAGGGGCCTACAAGGACTCCAATCTGATGTTCCCCTTGCCAGAATTAGGCTTGAACTTGTAGGCATAAATGTGAGGCGAAAGTACAGGTCTGCGGACATCAAGCCCAGGTCATATGAGGTTCATAGTAAAATGAAGACTTCTCATCTGACTCAGAATTTCTGGGACTGGACTTTAGAAATATGTTACGTCAGTCAAGAAATACATTATGTCAAAGATTCTGAAGCCCATCAGTTTGAGAACCACCCAGCGTGAGTGAATTCTAAATCCAACTCCAGTCAGAGAACGGATCTGTTTATCTATCCTGCATGCCACACAGACCTTGCCAAGCAAACCAAGCAGCTTATTCAAATTAACTGCACCAGTGACCCAACCTGAATGAGTCACATTAAAAGACTTTATGTGCCTCAGCCTAAAGAGACAGGCCAAAGGACTCAGGTCAGAGGTACATGCAGTATCAGCTTCACTCTTTCCAAGGTAACTTCTCAGTTGACATTACCCAACAATATAACTCCAGGCACTCCTGGAGGCAGATTCTTGTAGATTACCAACACATACCATCTCCAATTCCTTTTGAGGTGCATAACATTTCAGGAAGGCATTATACTGTTAACTTCTAAGGAAGTAATATGGATATAACCCGAGCCAAAATTATCAAGTTGGGTTTACAAAGCATCCATAATTGTGGTGGGTAACTACTTTCTGCACATCTCCTTTTGAATTCATTTTTTATAGCACAGAATTTCAAACGGAAAGAAGAAATGGTGACATTTTTATGTTACGTTATAGATGGATTGTGTTGATTGCCTTTGAAACATACTTTCAGGAAAAAAAAAAAAAGTATTGCCCCATTGTATCCACCAAGCTCTGTCCTGCTGTATTTCTCAGGAGGAAACAGCCTGAAAAGGTTTCATGGAAGTTAGGCCAAGCACTGGACTTCTGAAAGACCTCTCACAGTAATATGAGAGTGTGAAACAGCAGGAGGCTGAGAAATGTACTGTGAAGAACGGAGAAAAAAGAAACAGGCTTAGAAACAAGCACATTTGAAAAACTAGTGAAGGATTTCAAAAGATCAGCCCTAATTTAAGAAGCATGGGTACCTTATCATTTGAACCTAAAGAATATAACCAGGGCAAGACAAATTTCAGAAGACATGATACTCTTGAAATACAGAATTTTATTTAGAAACTGTTTAAAGTAGAAAAAAACCCTGTCAAGAAAGACCAGGTGGAAAATGGGTTCCCAATAAAATGGAATTTTAGGGCAACAAAAGTCTAAAAGGCCACAAAAGAGAAATAGCACCACTGTTTTTTGAACAATGGCTAGTTACTTGCATTTTTTGGCATTGTTAATTACTGAATCTAGGTTTTCCTCTGAATTCCACACAGAGCATGCACTACACAACAATTTATCATAAAATACCTGCTTTCTACACACATTTTAGGACAAGCTACCACCAGAAACAAATCAATACAAATACATCAGGGGCTGAACAATCTCAGTAGTGGGTGACACACATTTTGCAGAATTCTGCCAAACAAAGGAACTGAACAGGCTGTGGGCAAAGCAAATGAGGGAGAGTTAAGGAATGAAATATTTTAAATATTAATAATTAATTCAGACATGGTACTGTATTTTCTGCAAAAGAAAATTAACATTTAGTAACACGCTAACGTTTTTATCTCCAAAGAGATTAGTGCACTGGCAAAGTATTCCAATAACAGTGGAGGGCTGTGGACAGCAGGTACCGAAAACACCCAGCCTTGCAGATCCCAAGGTAGCGATGGCCTTCACTGATCACTCTCTTTGCCAGAGGTCCAGATAGACCTTGCAGCATGATCACCTGCCTGCTGAACTTCCACTCTAAGCAGCAAATTTTAAGGAGCCAAAGAGGAGTCCCCAGTGGGCAAGGGGAGCAGAGAAGAGAAACACGTTAAATGTAAACTTAAAAGACAGTAAAACGGGACACAACCCCCATTCAAATCCCAGAGATGTGGGCAAGTCCCCAAAAGTAGTTGTTAGGTTTAAAAACTAGACACACCTCATTTCCAAAAAAACACAATACATAGAAATTTCAGAGATAATTGGAAAAGTCACCAGAGAAATGCGCAATGAAAATCAAGCTCTTCCACTCAAACTTCTCAGGGCTGAAACACACACTCTATTCATCCAGGCAACAATGCCTCTTGCTTCTTAGCAGAGATGCAATTGGTCAAGGACACTAAATGGCTTTACAGAGTAACTTTTTAAACTTTCCTTTTGGGCCAAGGTCTGGGCCTATGAGGATTAGAGCAGCCCCACAAGGGCTGTGAACTGCAGGTTTCAAAGATTCCAGGTTCTGGCCCTTCCTTCCCAGACACAATGTCAAACACATAATCACCTGTCACGTTACATTTTATATTTTGAAATATGGAAGCATATTTTAAATACTCTTAAGGCATTTATTTATTAAAACGTTCTCTGCCAAGATTTCACATTAGTTTAAAATTCAAATCAGTCTTTACAATTCTCTATTAGAGGTCTCCTCCTCAGTGTATTACATAAACACACCTTCTCCAGCAATCAGTGTTACCAGCATCCACACAGTGAGCCCATGGTCAGCCTCTTTGTCCCCTAGGTAAACCAACTAGATGTTAATACTGCTCTGCTACAAGGTAAAAGCTCCTAACTCAAACCTGTTGGAAAAGGAGTGAAACTTCTGCAAAGTGCACTTTAAGAAGAGGTACTTTTTTGCTTATGAAAAGAAACCAGTGAGTCCTCTAAGAATAATAAAAGGGAGTATTTTACAGTTAAGCACATGATTTGGAGTGAAGAATTCGGATGTTGCTCAGCTGGTCCAGGCTGTTAATACTCTTCCTGTTCCTCCTGTGGGCCCCCCTCATCAGGTATCACAAAGCCTTCCTAAAATGGGAAAATGAGAGGGGAAAGCTGTTACTCAACACTGAACGAAGGATCGATTTCTACTGTGGGTTCACTTTCCTCATATTTAAAACCTCTCAAAGTCAACGGTTCTTCCTGTCTCTACCACACACTTGGCATTTAATGGCACAAGACCAAGTGACTGCTATTTTATTAGTCAGTGGACTCACATCTCACAAAAGGCATAAACTGAGCACAAATTTACCCTCAAACTTTTGAGAGTGATGGATGTGTATGTACACTGTCTTAATTACAGTGATGATTCCACATACCAAGTTGTACTTAAATATGTGCAGTTCACTCTGTCAACTGAACTTCAGTAAAGCTGTTTAAGAAAATTTACCCCCCAAAATACCTGACATCACCATAACAGTACCACACCACCTCCTCTCAATAAACTGCCCACACAGCAGCCTTCCCTTACGCACTCTTTCCCACTTAGGAACCACGCATGCTATTGCAGGTGTTGTGAGGGTTTTGTTTACCCAAAACCCCCACAGCACCCATAACAGCCCCAAGACTGACCCAACATTAGAGGCATGGGAAAGCATATATGGCTCCCACGCCACCCTCACTCCACCACATCTGGCGTGTACTAATGGCTGTATTACCATAAAAATTCAGACTTTCGCCTTCAACCACCATCTTATTTTTTTTTAACTAAATCTCTATGGCTGAATTTACTTTAGATGACTCCACTAAAACAATACTCAGACTAGAACAAGGACCCCTATATCTTTAGCATCTTTGCTTTCATTATCTGGCACAGAGCAAGCTCGAAATAAGGATTTATTTGAACAAATAATCAAGTTTTCAGTCATCTGTCTTAATCCCCCCAAATTCACTTGATACCTTTAGAGGACAGTGTTAATAACAGCAGTTATTAACATATTACCTTTCATCTGTATCCTGCCACATACTATGAAACACGTAGATGTACACTGTAGTTTGCTCCTACAGACCTTGCTAGGCATGCAGAAGAATTATCAATTACAGCCACTGAACAGTGGACACAGCAAGATACCAAATCCTAAATCTAGGGAAAATCAGTTTTCCCTGTTCAGTTAACACAGTATAATTAGTATCAGCAGATTCAGCTGCATAATATACATGGATCCCAAGAAACATGACCACAAAGGGGGAATAGGAACCAGGTACACTCCTGGGTGGGAGGAGTAAAGGTGACAGCTGTGGGCAGCAGACATCAAATAGGAACCATGTGCCTGGTTCTCCAGGGCACGCCTGGGGCCCTGTTCAAAAGGAAGCAGCATCTCTGGCTGAGGGGTCCAAGCTGAAGGGAGTAGGGATGGAAGGGCTAAAAGCATTCTGTGGCACTCTTGATCTACTAGTGGCCACAAACTATAGAAGGAGGGCAAGCCAGCCACCTCAGTGTCCTATGCTCAGAGACCTCAAGGCAGAGGCTGAAACTGGGCAGAGGTGCCCTCTGGCTGACTTTGAGGGTCAAAGATGAAGTCTTTTGATGAATGCTATGCTGTAACACAACAAGCATCAGCACTGAGTCTGGCAAAAGCAACCAGATAAAATGTATTCTCTCTTAGATGGCAAAATGGCAAGAAAGTATCCTCAGGTCAATACGTACGTCTGTGGCATAGAGAATGTCCACAATCCTCTGCAATACAGGGTTGTTTTCCCCTTCGTTCTCCTGGCAAATCAATTCAATGTTCCTTAGCTTTCCAAAGTAGAAATCTCTCTCCTTCTCCAGGTCTTCGACGGTAAGTTTCAACACGTTGACCTGCACAAGACATTAGAAAGGGTGAAACATCTGGCATTCACACACCAGTAATATATCACACAAACTTCCAACCCAAAATGAGATGTGATCTTTCACCAAACTCTCTAACACGGACAAAACCCCACTTTACTTTAATGTCAATTTTCCTCAGCCCCAGATGAGGAGCATTAGCTTGTTTGTGGCCACCTTGACTATAACAATTCCCAGGAAAGATCAAACTACACCATGAAACATGCATAACTTCTCAAGGACTAAGACAAGATCAAGGAGAGAAACTCATGGGAGCCTGAGACAAATACAGAAGCAGAATCCACAACCCAGCCCAGCAGGGTGGCCAACAATCATCTATTGAGTCCTTACCAAGGCACTGCTCAATCAAGTCCAGCTCTTTCCATGTTGAGGTCAATAGTAAGACAGGGTCTGGTCCGAGGCAGCGGGGTAGAAGTGGCGAGTCAGGAGGGGAAGACTAGCTAAGGATGACTAACACTAGCCCAAAGACAGCTAAGACTGAGGGGGACCTGGGCTCGGAAAAGTCAATGGTTTTTCCTCTCTGCAATATGTTGGGGTTGGGTGATCCATGACTCAAAAGAAAAGTATCCTCTGCAGAGAGAGTTCTTGCACCACTGTCTCCCCCAAGAGAGTCTCAAAAGGGAGAGAAGACGGCAAAGGCAGGGAGCAGATCCCACTACATTCCATTCTAGCCTCTTTGAGTATCTTCTCAGCTCACCACATATGCTGCAGGCTCCCATGGAGGGCCTCTAATTTCCACAAAGGGGCAAGGAAGAAATAAATCTCAGTGCTCGGGCCAGGACTTCATCCAGACAAGAGTAGTAAAAGTCCCGACAACCCTCACGGTCCTTTGTGTATGTTAAGCACAGTGCATCTTCATTCCAGTATATTCAAATCTCTGACATGCGAATTCAATTTAATTTTCACTGAATGCAAATTACATGGCATATGGTTTAGCACAAAATCCTCATAGGCCTTACAGGCTGGGGCCACACGGAAAGGTGAGGGAATAGGAACCAGGCACATTCCTGAAAGGTGAGCCAGGAAATCACAGGTGCAGCCACTAAGAACAATTTGGATAGCAGAGAAGTCTGAGAGCCAGAAGGCACTACCGAAATCTAGTCCACCTGAACTTCTAGTTGCAGAAACTGAAGCAAACAGCTTAGCCGGCTTCCCCACAGCCGACAAAGAACCGAGACCCAACCAAAGCCCCGTCCAGGGTTGAAGGAAGCGCCCCTTCAAAACCTGCAGTCAAGAAGCATCCAGAGATGAGGAGCAGGTGACTGGAGCCACCAGGACCATTTTGTCAAAGACTTAACTTCAATGTTCATCATCAAAGGCCTGAACAGACCAAACCAGAATCAAGGTTCCAGATACCTTCCACTTTTTCTTTCACAGTCACAGAAATCACTTTTAAAAATAACTGAAAGTTTCAATAAAGTACTATCATTACCTAGTACTGAGCAAAACGAAACCATCCATCTGCCCCCATTCTCCCCACCCTTGCTCTTACTGCTGCTTGTCACCTCTCCTTAAACTATCAGTTACTCTCAAAGTGGAGTACAAAGGGGATAAAAGGGCAAGAGGTGACTAACCCCGGCAAGCGGAAACTGCCTTGGATCTTCAACTCCAAGATCCAAGGGCCAAGGAAGAGGCCTTCTAATCACATGAAAAGGAAAGAAGGGAAGGGAAGTCAAAAGCCTTACCGAGGCACGCTACCTTGGAATCCACCTGTACATGCATGTTCCACTAGTGCCTCCCTCACAAACTCACTGAAACCTTCTCTGGCCTACCAGTCATCAAGGGCACCAGAACCCAGCCCTCCAGGCCCCATCAAGGCCAAAGCAGCAGTTCTCCCTGACACCACTCAGTAACTGTGACTCCAAAAAAACAATAACCATACACTAAGTCACCAGCTTTCACCTGGTACTCCTCTATTTATAAGGTTATTAAAAATCTACAGCTAGCAATCAATGTCACTCTTAGAGCCATGCCTTACAGCGAAGTAATAGCTATAACCTAAGAAGCCCAAGGAAAACACTTCAAACTTGCACTGGCCAGTATGGTAGCTATGAACCACACAAGGCTTTCTGAGCCCTTGAAATGTGGCCAGTGCAATTGAGACAGCCTATAAACATTAAATACACATTGGATTTCAAAGATTTAGTACAGTGGTCAAATGTAAAACATCTCTGACAATTATTTGCACTGATCACATGTCAGAACACTAATATTTTAGATATACTGAATAATGTGTTATTAGAATTAGTTTAATCTGTTTCTTTTTACTTTTTCCAATGTGGCTACTAGAAAATTTTAATTTATATATGTGTCTCACATTCTGGTTTGCATTCTATTTCTGTTGAAAAGCACTACTTAAGACTAAAATCAACCAGAAGTAAATTTCTCCAGGACAACTTAAGAATGTGGAATCACTGCAGTTCTCCTAATGCTATGACCACCACAACGTAACTTGTGTAGAATACACTGCTCTTCTCTTAGCCTGCCAAGCCCATGTGGCTCTATTTTCCACATCGGTTGTGTCCTCCAGACCTCCAAACCTTCATCAAGGGCCACCACTTCAAATACTTTCAGGGTCAGAGAGATCATGTAAATGACCACGGGATTCAGGAACAGGGTGTGCGCAGGACTTTGGCAACCTGGAGAGAACCTAAAATCCTTCTTATTAAAAAATAGTAATAATAAAAATCAAAACTCTTTGCAAGCCAAACAAATTAATTCCAAGGCAGGGCTGGACAAGCTAGCTGTGACCTGGGGCCAAACCCCAGGTCAGGCTATTTAACCTCTCCAAGCCTCACTGTCCTCTGTAACACCTCACAGGGCTGCCGCAAAAGCAAAGTGCTTAGTAGAGCAATGGCATGCACACTCTAAAAATGTTTTGTTTTTGCTATTAACATTTGTTCATTTCACCAAAAAAATCTGATTCCTGTGAACTTTTAAAACTCATGTTAGAAACCATGTCAGTCTATCAAGACCACAGACATGAACCATAGTAACCACAACTGTCTTTCACCCACTGCCATTTACCCCATTTATCCCACACTTTTAGGCACCTGACACAACATCAGCTCATGATCAAAGTATGAGCCCCACTGCACACGCAGCAGTGCACTCAGAGAGGTTAACTGCCTTGCCCCAAGTAGAAGTGGGAGCACCAGAACCATCCCCAAATCCACACAACCCGAAGGCGGTGTTCCCTCACAGAGGACCCAGCTGAGCAGCGGGTCCCACAGAAGCCGCTGCATCATCTCCCGGAGAGCACAAGGCCAACCCTGTGCTGGTCACCATGTCTGGCCATGAACAACTCTTCCCCATTTTCCCCTGAGACTGCTTTGTGTTGTTACCCATGCCTGGAAACCAACAGTCACAGAAGTCTCCTTACTCTCCAGGACTTCTGTACATATGGTGCCAGTGCCTAGAGGGTGCTCGAGGCAACCACAACCATGGGGGTGGGGACCCAGTCACCTCCACACTCCAGAGGCACCTATGACCATGGGGCACACACAAATCAAAGAATGAAAAAAACCAAATGTGATCTTTGGGCAGGCTTTTATGTCCTGATTTCCTAGGATTATGGTCTGGGTCACAAGAGGTTCTGGATTAAAGTGAGGCCATTTCCCCTGGGCTTTAGGACTTGGCTTTTAGGAAAGTAAAAAGCTTCAATCTCAAACTCACAGGAATCACAGAGCATTCTTGATTTTAAAACTGGAATTAATCAACAAAATCATCCAAAGGCAACGGAACAAATGAAACAACTGTAAGAATTAGTGAGAAAATGTCTAAAAGTTTAAAAATTTGTTCTGATTCACAGAGACTCTACCAACTATCTTCAGGATATTTAACTAATCCCAAGGAAGACATTTCAAATCACTGATCTATTAAGCACAAAAGCAACAGAGTTTTCATACCACTTCCATTCTCAACTTAATTCTCTAGTGAGCCCAGACTTCAGCAGAGACAGACTGTGGAATCTTTTTCAAATTATTATTTAGAAAGTATCTCTCCTTTATCTTTTGCCAGAGCCAAAATTCAATAGACATTCTCCAAATCCCACAGAACCCTGACAACGTTCCAGAGACTTTCAACAGGGTTCTATTGTATGGGCGGGTTTCCAAACAGACACTGGTTTCTGTCACACTAACAGATTTCAGAAATGCCTGATACTGTCCCCCACCTCCACGCTCACAGTCCCCACACAGCACCCGAAGTGCTCACACACGTCGTGAGGACTGCTTTTCTACGCAGACAAGGCAGGTCTTTCAACAAGAACATGGACAAGCCTCCCCTGGTCAGGGCAGCAAGAGCCCTTTCCCCCCCTAATGCCTCCTGTCTTGAATACAGGAAGTGCCTACCTGCTGCATCAATTCAGCTGCTTCGTCATCCCCATTCCCCACACCGGGGTTCTTCCGCACCACACCCGGGCCAGCCTTAGGGGTTGCAGTAGTTCTGTGTGTTGCAATGGGCCTCTGTGGAGCTAAGAGGAGCAGACGTAGTTTTTCAAGAGGAAAAATTTCATGACAAAAAAGAACCCACCAGACAACAAGAGGAGGCTGTGATCAACTGCCCTCCACAGCTACGTGAGGGGACCCAACGTAGAGAGCCCAGCATGCAAAACAGCACCCTCGTGTTTGCCCAAAGTGGTTTTTCATCCTGGTAGCAGGTAAGTACCAATTTTAGTCACGATCTTTCGTGCTGGGACTAAGTCCTTCTGTGTGGTCTTTTTTCCACTGGGGTGAACAGGACTATCATCTGAAAGAGGCAAAGTCATTCAGGGCACATTTGGATGATCTTCCTTAATGCAGCTCCAACCAAATTCACAAACAGGGCAGCTTTATGGAGCAAAGGAAAACTTCACGCCAGGAGCTCACAGTCCCAGCTGTTGCAGGGTGCCCACGATTCCCCATCTGGAAAGTAAGGTGCCTCCTAACTGAGAACCTCGGGCTCCTTGGATTGGGAAGAGGTGGGGGTAGAGACTGCTCTGACCACTACTGACTTCAAAACCCATATCTTGCTTAACTTTCAGAGGGTGTTTAGAAGGGTTAGGAGAGAAAAGCAGCACAGTGACAAGGATTTATAAGCTTCTCTCAGTAAGAATGGGCAAAAGCAAAGACAAGGAAAAAGAGGTAAAGGGGTCAACCTATCTACAAGTTAAAATAAGAATAATCAAGAACAAGCTATCTTAAGGTAAATTTCATGGTTTTATTCATTCATTCAGCAATTATTTTGTAAAGCTTGTAGTTATGCCAGGCTTAGAAATATTTGATCCTCCTGTCACCCCAAACTGCCCAATAACCATAATGCCTTTCACCCATAGTAACAGGCATTTTCTCTAGAGGATCTCTAGTGTATGTTTACCCTGAGGACTAAATGCATAATGCAAGTCTCCACATGCCTGTCGGCAGCACCTGAAATTTGCACAGGGTTATCTACACACTTCCCCATTCTAACAAGCTAAAGAATAAAAATACTCAATATACGAAGAAATCTGAACCCTCAAATACTCTGCCGATGGGCATGTAAAATGGTTCAGCCACTCTGAACAAGAGTCAGGTAGTTCGGCAGAAGGTTAAACACAGAATTACCACATGACCCAAGAATTCTGCTCCAAGAGTACCTACTCTTTTTTTTTTCCCAAGAGTACATACTCTTGAATCCAAGAGAACCTACTCTTGAATCCAAGAGAAATGAGAACATATGCCCACACAGAAAGAAACTTGTATACAAATAGTCACAGCAGCATTGTTCAGAAGAGCTAAAAAATGGAAACAACCCAAATGATCATCAGCTGATGAATAAATCATGCTACAGTCATACAATGGAATATTATTTAGCCATACAAAGGAATAAAGTATTGATATATGCTACAACATGGATCAACCTTGAAAATACTACACTAAATTAAAGAAGCCAGACACAAAACATTACATATTCTATAATCCCATTTATATAACATATTCAGAATAGGTAACTCCATAGACAGAGAGTGGATCAGCAGCTGCGTAGGGCTAGCGAGGAAGGAGGAGAGTCAGGGGAAAATAGGAAGTGACAGTTATCAGGAACATACGATGTTTCTTTTTTAGGGTAGTGAAAATGTTCTAAAATTGATTATGGTGATAGCTGAACACACTGAGAATATACTAAAAACCATTCAGTTGTGTACTTTAAATGGGTGAATTGTATGGCAAGTGAATCATAGCATAATAAAGCCATTAAAACTAAAAAGTACTCAATGTCCCTCTCTACCTACCAGGTAGGTTAGTCTCTCTCAGGGTACTATGTGGCTTTAACTAATGTTCTTGAAACCTTCTGGAAAGAAGAAATTAGCAACTAACGAACACCCACCGTGTTCCAAAGTATACATATGTTCTGTAAGTACAGTACTGCAAACACACCTTGGGAAACCTACCAGACCAAGACCTTTTAGAGAAGGTCTGTAGCAACACCCACCCCTTGCCTCCCAGATTCTGCTGGTATCACAGCAAGCCAACACCACTAAGCAGCTGAAGTTCGAGGGAGGGCAGGGAAGTGGTAAGCACAGGAAGCTGGCCTGCAGACGGAACAATGATGCAGAGAGCCAAGAGCAATCCTCAAGAGACCTAGAAAGTTCTGCGGTTCCTGGGAGTTCAGGTCTGGTTGTAACTTCCTATCCTAGGGCTCTGTGAAACGCCCTTGTGTTCAAACTAAAGATCTCTTTAATATGAGCTAACCCAAGGGATTTCTATTCCATACAGAGTGTTGGCAAAATCATGTACAATAACTCAGTCAAGTCTTAAGAACAACCCTCTGGGGCAAGTATTGAAATTCCCATTTTACAGAGGAGGAAACAGTGGAGAAGAGGTGAAATGGATTACACAGGGCTCCAGAGATCTAAGAACAAACACAGGGCCCTGATGCCACAATCCATGCTCCCGCCACATGACAGGGTTTATGCTCTTTAAACTCCCTAAGCCTATGGCTACCCCCAAAATTCTGGTTGAATATTGAATGTATGAATCAATGAATGAATACCTAGAGTATTATTACTTGGAAATGGTGTTTTTGTGTGTGTGTGGTTTTTTTTACCTGCACTGCTAGAGCTGAGAGGTTTCTTCGGTTTGTTCAGAGCTGGAGCAACAAGGGAGGGGGCCACCACAGTTTCTTGACCTTGTCTGGCAGCTACAGGGTCATAATCTTTTCCATCATAGTTTGCATCAAAAAACTTCTTGAACCACTGAACGAATTCAAAATTGTCCTGAAACTTTCCTTTTACTAATTTGTCCACAGGAATTATCTGCAGAGGAACATCAAGATTGTTGAGCCCAAAGCAAGAGGTTTTTGGCAAGTATCAAACATATCCAATCATCAAATCAGTTCAAAGCTCTGCCGAAAGGAGAAAAAACAATTTTTTTAGAAGCAAGACTAAGTGCTCAGTAAGCCCCCAGAAGTTTGTAGAGCAAGTTTCATTCAGTTTCCTCCAGAGAGAACTTACACCTGCCAAACACCCTCCAAATCCATCAGAAGAAATCAGAAATGCAAAAAAAAACAAGTATCATATATAAGTCACACATCCAAACACATCCTGAGACATGTCATTCCACTGTAAAGAGTAAATCTCCCGTGTAAGTTGCATGGCCACAGTGCCTGTCACAGAGTATGAAATCCATAGCACAAACTAACCACAGGTGTCTATGAGATGTGTTTTAAAATAAAATTGTCTTAAAGTAGGTCAAGGTACAGAATCAGTCCTGGGATAGACTTCCACAAAATGGTATGTTTTTCAAGTAATTCCAATCCTATTAAAACATACTTTAAAAGACCCTCTACGTTTTTTCTTATTATAGAAGAATACTGTGCTATCAGGTATTACGTCAAATGGTTGGACTGCAGTCCAACTCAACTATCTTCTAATTCTCAAAGGCTTCCAGTTGCAATGATACTTTTATTAAAAAAAAAAGAATATACATAATAATCTGAACTATATCACCTTTCTGAGCAAATAAATTTTTAAGAACTTCTTTGTATGACACCAAAACATTTACAAATAAAATGTTACATCTGGAACTCATTTCAAAATAATCCATGAGAATAGGGGGTGGGGTAGAGGTATAAATGAAATAAAACTGGCCTTGAGTTGATAATCACTGAGGTACATGGGGGATCACTGCACCTTTCCCTCTATTTTTATATACTTCAGAAACTTTCCTTATACAAAAAAATAAACGCCATGAAAGAAAAAATTATTCTATATAATAAACTACACCTAGTTAAAATTATGCCTGGTAACCAAATGATATTCTTACAGTACAAATGCCTATTTTATATACTGCACACAAACAAAACTAAAATAAAAAGACTGACTTCATAGTACATAGAAATCAGATACAGCATACAGTAGCTAACTAGGGGGTGATTACAAGCTTTACTTAAAAAAGTTTACCCCCCCAAAATGGCTTTTTAAAGGATAAGCCCTTATAAAAAAAAAAAAAAAGGATAAGCCCTCTAATGGGGGTGGGGAAGAACTGCATAATTCTGCAATAATCTATTATCTCCTAAATCAGGGATATTTGTCCTAATGAAACCTGGTGGACTGTGTTTTTGATACCTTCAAATAAGCTTGGGGGCAAGTGGGAAATTCCTAGCACCCACCAGCAATCTTCTTTGTATCTTGCTATAAAAATCAAGTATTTCTAGAATCTTGTCTGTTAGAACTACTTATTCTACCATATGGTATGCTTTAGAAGTAAATCCAGAGATTAAAGGAGTCAGATGTCAGATTAACAGACTAAACAGTAATTAAAAAAAAATTTACAGGTAGATTTACAGGTTAATTCTTCCACAAAGTTACCAACTTCACAATGAAGAAGGAAGACAGCAAGGGGGTAGGAGAGCAGAGGGAAACTTTGCTCCCAGTAAATTCTGTTAACTGGAGAAAAGATAACCATATAAATTGAGAAAAGAAGAAAATGTCCAAAGTAATGGGCCAGCATCTGTATCCTCAGTAATTATCACTAGTTTTTTTTATTGGCATATAAATTAGTATTTCACATATTGTTCTTAAAATAATTTTCGTAAGAGTTTCATAGAATTTTGCTTATTAACACTTAAAAATAATATTTATGAGATATATTAAAAATAATATTGATCAAAGACTAAATTATTCCATGTAGTTAGGGTGACCATCCATCCAGGTAAGCCTTTCTTAATTCCTTAATTTTTTTGTGGAGGGGTAGTTAGATTTATTTATTTTTAGAGGAGGTACTGGGGATTGAACCCAGGATATCATGCATGCTAAGCATACTCTATACCACTTGAGCTATGCCCTCCCTACCAGTAATTATCACTAGTTAAGAAACAACCTAAATGAAAGAATAAAATTTACTTACTTTGTCAACACCCATCCTCTTAAAACCTGCTTGTAGTATTTTGAAGTTCTGGATGTATTCGTGTTCTAGCTTAGCTTGGAATTTCACTTTCTTCAAGGCAATAGAGCCGGGGAACAGCATGTCCATAAACTGACAATAGGCAGCCCCTGAAGGAACAACAACAAAAGAAGAAAATACACACTAGGTCATTAAATGCAGTAGCTACTAACAAAGCAGGGTGAAAATTTACCCAAACTCATTTAATCCATATACAATTTTAAAAGCTGTAAAGTGGAAACACAAAACCCAAACACTTCATTATCACATGACTTCAAAGTCAATTTTTTTTTTTCCCAAAGTCAATTTTTTGACTAACAAGACTATGGTTTTACCTGGTAAGTTCTACAACACACTTGCAACCTGGAATGCTACGACGAGAAAAAGGAATGTTTCTATGAAATTTTAAAACTTTTCTTTATAAGAAACCAGCATGACAATAAAACAACAACTACAAAGAAAAATGAATGCTGGCAGGAGGAGGGATTTCCCCACTATTTCAAAGATCCTTCCTCTGACCTAGGTTAAAAAAATGTTTTTTTCTAAGATATCTGTTTCCCATCTCTAAATAAACTTAACCTATCATTTTATAAACAAAGTTGAATAGAAGACATTTTTGTGTCTTTAATTTTTTTCATTTTAAAGGTCATTATAAGAAATTACTGCATATATTTCATTCCATTTGTTCCCCATTTCACTCCTTCCTCCACGTGTCCATTTTTATCCATCGCCACCCCAAAAAGTGTTTTCTTGGCACTTAAAATTTCCAGGCATGTTATTTCTCTAATGCCCA